CTTTGAGTTACTCGACTTATGTGTGTCGTGTAAGTTCGTCTTATGGTGAGACGAGTGAATGGCTACCTCAAGCCTTTCGGCAATGTCTAGCGCATGATGATCGGAAGCCAAATCGAGGCAGTCGAGCATGCACTCGGGCGAAAATTGGTCGGAAGTTATGTATCCGTAGATAAGGTCTCCCAAGCTCGTTTTCACATTCTGCGACTAAGCGTTTTTCGGACACATTAGTAAAGGAAAAAAAAAGTAAAACCTAGCAGTATTATATCGATCGATTGATTACCTTTGGAAGAGCTTCGAAATATGAATCCGGAACATCCATCTCGGCTAAAACCGAATCGTTTATGGCCGCTGCCGCCTTAAGGATTTGGTTCGTCGAATCACGCTTGCGCCGAACCAATTTTCTTGCGGCTTCGCTTAGGCCGCCGGTCGGAACTCTCGGGACCGGAAGCCACCATTTGTCCGGTTTCCGGTTTAGAAGCTTCCGGAAGGAGGCCGATTCTTCTCCTTTGTCGACGTACCAAAACTCGGGACTTTCGAAGCTATCCAATATTTCCTTCCACATATAGTAATGAAATTTTAGAACCCAAACAACTATGAGTAAGTGTACGAAATATAATCGATGAAGATTTCAAAACAAAAAACGAAAAAATAAAAATAAAAAAGGAGTCGAACTCACGAGCAGCATGTTGTCTAGTTTGCGTAACGCGGGTAGGTTCACGTATAAATCCGATCGCATTCGAGAGGTCATGACCTGTATTAATCAAAAAGTGACTCTATGGAATATACGATTAAAACTAAAATAAATAAAAAATGTAAATGACGACACGACGAAGATGGAGAAAAATGAAGTCGATAGTACTCAAGTCGAACGAACTATCGATTTTACCTCTGATTTTCTCCCATCAGAAAAAGTTTGCCAAGAAGGTACTAACTCAACAATGTGGTCACTAACACATACAAGCCACTCGATTTCTTTCCTCCATGTTGATTTCTTGTCTATCGGTAGAGGCTCCAGCCTCAATACTTGTCCGAAAACGCTACCTAACCGAACACAAAATGTTGATTACAGAGCTAAATAAACATAAGGAATATCTTTCTTCTTTTCTTTTCGTTCGTTAAATATAGAGCAAAATAACGAACCGCAAAGATTAGTGATAGCGTTCGAAATAGCCAGAGCAGTACAAACCCCATTGCCACATCCCGACATGTCCTCGCCGAGCAGAAGCTTCCAAAATCTTTCCTTAATCGTCTCACAATCTGTCATGCACCCGAAAAAAAAAATTAATAATAAGAATTAGTTACTTATTTTTTGAAAAATAGCAATGTCTATTAACTGATTACCTGAAATGGATGTTTTTGCCTTTTGTGATTTTCTATGGTCCAAAGGGGTTTTATCAGCTACGCTCTTCCTCATTCCCCTGCCTGTGGGTGAGGTTGTCGCTGATAATTCCTCGGAAACTCGATTTTCGTCACATGAAATGGGGTCCGAAGCCGAAAGTTTGGATTTTGATCTGTTTTTCTCAATGGGTGAGGCACAGAAAAAATGGCTAACTTTCATTTCATCAAAGTTTAATAAGCCTTTCTGTTTCTTTTTTATTTTTCGAAACTGTAGGTAATGGTAATAAGCTCGAGAGAGTTCGATACGAACGGGCAATCCAACTGATTGTGTCGGATAAAAAAAAACTTGCGAAAAGAAATCGAAGAAAACAAGAGATGAATGAAGGAGGCTAGCTGCTCAAAGAAGTATTTGTAGTTAAAGAAAAAAAAGGTTGTTATTTCTTTTAATTTTGAAATTTGAAGGGTGATTTTAATGGTTTATCTTTGTGTTTCTAACATCAAATGGAAAAAGTTTGGGTAAAGAACAAAAGGTTGCATGCAGCAGAAGGCCAAGGCATTTTTTAAAAATAAAACACATTTTTTTTACATCTTTGTTTTATCAGCATTAGAAGTGTTAAACAAAATGAACCGGTCGTTAATTCGGCTCGTTAAGACTCAAGGTCATTTAAAACTCGTTTAGTTTACGAGCCGAGCTCTCAGGTTGGTTTGTTAAGGCTCGTCACGCTGAATAAGTATGAGTTTTTTTTTTACGTATTTTTAGAACTTTTAATTATATATCAGGTTGTTAACGGGCTCGCGTTGTTATTTATCGACTCGTTTATAGTTCTAGCTATAATATTAGGCATTAAACTCTAATCTAGCACCAATATCTCAATTGGTTACTTCAAAGTAGATGTTTTGGATATGTCATTTGAGTTTGCATGACATGAAAATGAAACTTAGATCACATTCATTCATATGATAATTGTAGCATACATAGTAATATGTTGTAAAATGTTATATTTTTACTAAATAAATTGTTGTTTTTATGTACTTTGTGATGCTCCCATCAAAACGTTTCTAATACGGAACAACATTTATCTTATTAATCAAGATTTAAATACCAATACATGATAATTAAACTAAATTAGTGTTAGATACCTATATCAATGGTAAAAATTAAAAACATACCATTTTTTTTTTCTTTTTTGTCTTGGTACTTGAAAGGAATAAACATAAACAAAAAATGCCAATATATATATATAATTATATATAAGTATAATATTTAAATTTGTTGTTTAAACAATTGTGGAGGGAACTAAAGATTGTGTAAAGTGAGGCGGCTATTTTTGAATTTGAAGAGTGTTGGGGGACCTTTCGGAAATAAAGCTATTTAGAATATTGCTTTATTACTTTATTTTGTAATTTAAAAAGGGAAAAGGGCAAAAATCAGACCGTAATTTCAAATTATTCAGATATTCTTTTTTTTTTTTCCCAAAATTATACAATATACCACGTTTTATTTAATTTACTTTAAGATTTGAGGAGGCGTTATCTTCATTTTTATTTTTTATTTTATTATTTTTCCTTTTAGGAATACAGCATAAATTTCTGAAATTTCGATATTTATCATTAGCAATTACCAATATATAAACAAATTTATTTTTTAGGACAAATTATTCTCGACTTTATATTGTTTGGTTACTATAGTAAATCTATTTCCATTACCTAGTGAAATAAGAAGAAAAGAAGACGCTTTATTTTTTATTCGTTTTTGCACGAATTATTTGAAATTTTTTTATTTTTTTTTTGCAAATTTACAATAATTAAAAATAAATTACGACTAAATCATTCATAAACGATACATAAATCAAAATAGTGAAAATTATAAACCAATTATAAAAATAAATCACAAATTATTTATTTATAAATAGGAAAAAGTAGCATATTTATTATTAATAAAATTATAAATGTTGAAATAAATAAAAATATTAATGTAAAATCAACAGTTTCGATATTATGATTGGGCCAATATGTATTCATATTTATAAGGTGCAGCCCAGTTAAGTTAATAAGGTTGATGTGGACAATAGATTAAATTTTTTATCAGCCCACAATCTGATTAGCCCAAAAACAACTATTTTCTTAGTTTTGAAGGAACAAACTTGAAAGATGCATTTAATTTTTATGATAACATTTTATTTTATTAAACAATTTATATATTAAAAAAAAGGTATAAATAACTGATATAGCATACTATCGCATATCGGTTTATACTATCTACGGTTCATAGATTACCGAGTCGACTTAGCCAAAGTCGACTCTATCTGCAGATTCCTTATAATATCTTGGGTCAGGGGTCCAGGCGTCTCTCGGTCGACTTCCACGTGTCGACTAGAATAAGTCGATTTCCCCGGAAAGACGGATAAGCGCATCAGGGTCTACCGATGACTGAAGACGACCCCGTCGACTCGAGTCGGCATCCCGAGTCGACTGGGGAAGTCCCGAGGCTCATAGATCCCCGGCGATTCGATACACTTCGATATATCATAGGAAAGCTGTCAAGGATAAGAAGGAAGCTAATGAGGATAAGAAGGAATCTAAATGCTGACTATGAGAGGAGCGGAATGTGAACCGACCAGGGTATTTTGGGCATTTCAGGTAAGTCGGCCAAGGCATTTTGGGAACTTCAGGTAGTGTCTTGCTTCTATATAAAGGAGTTGAGGTAACCTCCAAAACCCTAACCCTCATTCATTTCATACTCTCCCCCGTTACTGTTGCTGCTCTCTCAGAGCAGCTCTCTTCCTCTCTCTTACATACTGACTTAAGCGTTGGAGGCTCTACGCTGGAAATCCCTCCGGCGTTGAGTTCTTGCAGGTTTTCTCGTGGTTCAACAACGGTTTGGAGGTTATCGAGTCAGATCTGAGCTTATTCCCATCGGTTCATTCCAGATCTGGACTGTTTTCAATCGGTTCACTTCAGATCTGAGAGAAGACCCATCAACAACGTAGATCAACTTTCTCAAAGTTTGACACGTTACTGAGGTGGCTGAGTTCACCGCATTCGTCATGTTTGTGTTCAAAATCCTGCTATTTGCTATTTGTCTGCTTACATGATTACATAGTCATGTTTTTTATTTTCAAGTAAAACAAATAATCAAATGGGTGGCCAGAGTAAAAATAAATGATGTTAGTTAAGTTTTCTAACCATTGTTTAGTTGTAAAAACATTTATACTTGTAATATGAAATGTTTTATTTTATTGGACTTTAAAGTATGATATTTGAATATGAATATATATATATATATATATATATATATGTGTGTGCGTGTGCGTCTGTGTGGTCGACTAATCATGAAACAATCTAACACAAGAACGGGTACAAAGTAAATTGTGTGGTTTTTGGAGGACATCTGATTAAATTTTCTTTACCCTATTTCAATATAAGGTTATTGTTAGGTAGATCTAACGGTCAGTCGATTTTATTTTTCCATAAACGTTCACATTTTTCAAATATAAAATGTAATGCTTTCATGAATAACATAAGCAAAATTATAACGTTTCATAGTATGACTATTTATTTTTTATATAAAGTATAACAGACTCGACCTATATAATAGTTAGGCACCTTGTAATTTGTAATTGTACCTTTCTTTTATGATTGACTTAGTCATTATATTAGACATAGGGGTGTAATCAAATCGAATCGAACCGAGCTTAAAGTGTTCGAGCTCGAGTTCGGCTAATTTTCGAACATTTTCGTGTTCGTTCGTTTAGTAAACGAACAAAATATTTCGTTCGTATTTTAGTTCGGCACGTTCGTGTTCGTTCGTTTATCTAGTCGAACTTGTTCGTGAATTGTTCGAGTTGTTCGAATTGTTCGTGCAATTTGTACCTGTACCTTTCTTCTTTTATGATTGACTTAGTCATTATATTAGACATGCATTAATTTTTTATTTTTTTTTAAAAAAAGGAAATAAAAGAAAATGAGACCCAGATCTAGTCTATGCAATAAATGAATTGGGAGTTGGTAAACAAATTAATACTATATTATTACAAAAATAATATCTCATAATTTTCTATTCCACTTTTAACTTATTCAACAAGTTTACCTTCAGCCTATATAAAGAGCTCCCAAAACCCAAAACCAAACACAAATTGCACTCTCATTCTTCTAACATTTCTCACACTTTAGACTCAAAATTTGCACATAACTACAAGTCTTCAATTATGGAGGAAGTTAAGCTTTTGGGTTTCTGGGCCAGCCCATTCAGCAGGAGAGTAGAAATGGGCCTCCAAATGAAAGGGGTAGACTATGAATTCATAGAAGAAGATTTACAGAACAAGTCCCCTTTACTTCTCCAGTCCAACCCAATTCACAAAAAAATACCAGTTTTGCTTCACAATGGCAAGCCTATTGCAGAGTCCTTGATCATTCTTGAGTACATTGACGAGGCCTTCCCAGGCCCATCACTATGGCCCAAGGATCCTTACGACAGAGCCCAAGCCCGGTTCTGGGCCAAGTTCATCGATGAAAAGGTACGTATAATTTTTTTACGTTACTTATTTACTAGGGAAGCTACAACATTAGGGGATGCTTATTAAAAAGTGGGAGATTCTACGGTCTGAATCAGTGGCTTGTAACCGTTAGATCAATTATCAACGAAGATTACATGATCTAACGGTTATAAATCTCGACAAAATGGTTCCTTAACGGGATTGTAGCACTAATACAATTGCCGAATTACAAATTTGGTTCAACTTTAAATATCGAAATTTATTTAATTATTTGTGTGTTTGAATTAAAGTGCAATCCAACCTTGTGGAAAGCCTGCTGGAGCACGGGCGAGGAGCAAGAGAAGACCAAACAAGAATCAGAACAACTGCTGAAAATTCTTGAAAATGAGATTAAGGACAAGGATTTCTTCGGAGGGGAAACCGTTGGGGCCGTTGACATAACGGCCAATTTCTTGGCCCACTGGTTTGGGATCGCTTCCCAGTTAGTGGGCCTCGAAATCATCACCGAGGAAAAGTACCCAAATTTGTGCAATTGGGCCGGCCGGTTTCGTGAGTGCGGTTTTGTGAAGGATAATCTGCCTCCAAAGGAGAAACTGGCTATGGGCCTTAAGTTTGTACTGCAAGCTGCGGCCAGGTCCAATGGCACATCAAGCGTCTGAATTTGGTATATGGGTCGGGTCATGCCCGACTCAACTTTCGAGAAAAATAAAATTGGATGCATGAAGGAGCTATTGTTGTTGTGACCTTTGTCCTTTTTTTTTTTTTTTT